GGGAAAGTGGACTTTTTTTGTGGGAACCCCGGAAAAGTGGTAGGATGTTGCGAAAATTAGGGAGATGGTAAGGGAGCGGACATAACAGTGGAGGAACTCAGGGTGCACTTTCCGAAAGTTTTCCCACACGACAACACTTGCCCACGTCATAAGCGAACTCTTACAAGAACCTTTGAAGAACTTATAATTTACCAACAACAGGATTACAAAAGCCAGCCCTCATACAAGTTTGGAAAAATCATTTTTGTTTACTTTGGTTTGATTTTAAAATGTTATTAGATCTTCTTTCTGGATAAACACGAGGATTTATGAGAGCGCACAAAACCGCCCAGAAATCGATAAAATTGCTTTGGAAGGAGCGAAACTTTACAGGCTCTCCTGGCGGTTGAGAAAGTTATCGTTTTTTCCTATTTGCTTTCGATGAGAAAAAATATTTGGAGTTTTACTGATAAAACAGCTGGAATTTCTCAGTTCAAAGCAGCCAGAAACTTAGCAGAACAGCATGAAACCGATGGAAAAATTTGGAACTAAGCCAGACATGCCGCGGGTCTTCCCCTCGTAATTCAGTACGTCAGCGATAAGCCGCGTCGGGAAGAGGCGGTTCCTCGATTTGGTCAGCCATAAAAACGGAAAGGGCTAGCAGGACGAAAACTGTAACTTACCAGTACGTCCTGAATACCAGACATGACGAACTTCTTCAGCGACATCTTGTCCCTGCGAACTGAACTGAACTGATCGAGTTGCTAAAGTGAAGTGATGGATCAATTGTGTTCGGGAGCACGGCGAAGGGGTGTAAATATAACAAGGGATGAGTCATGCGCCAAAGAGGCGGGGCCACACAAGTGGAACGAAGGACAAAGCGATGAAATACGATGAAAGAGGTAGGAGGAGGAGGATAATGAAAAACAACCACGGATAAGCGGATGATTCATCCACTGGGGGATGATTATGGAAAGCGAGAGAAGGAGAACTTATTGGAGAGCGAGAGATTGGAGCGAGATCAAAACAGCGCTGGGTTCAATAATAGCTTTAAGGAGCCGGAAAGACGGCCAGATGGGGGCGTGGCCTGACCATCAGAAAGTTTATGAGCCCTTTCTTCACACGATATGTGGTAGCACAGAATCGTCACCAAGAAAAGAAAGAGGCTCCCATCTCAGCTGACCACCCAGACCCCTAACCCTGCACGATTTCCCTGACACTCATCGACGGTCAGATTCAACCTTATTTCGAAGAATATTAATGGTCCCAAGCGGGTTATCAATAGGACTCAAAGCTACAGACAAACCACAAGCTGGTCATCCACCCAGCGACTGATCCCGGATCAATATCGAAAGGCCTGACAGCTGGCCGGTACTGCACGTCTCGCTGGTGGGTACAGCGGGGCGAGGGGCTGCACATGAGAGCCTTAGCTCTTCAGAAGCGGCGACGGCAGTGGACAGCATTTGATTCCAAAAATGTTGTTGTTGAAGTTGAAGAAGGGGCAGATCAAGTGTCACTGCGAGCGTTCAGTAAAAAGAATCCCGGAACGCAGTTTGGTGGTGGGGGAGGGGGATTTCGCTGTTCCTATCGATCACTGCCGATGCCTCCTGTGGAGTCCTGTAAAGTCCTTTGAAGCTATGCAGCAGCATAAGCTTCATTTACACGTAACAAGAGTCTTCAGGTATCTAGAAGGGTGAGACGTGAAATTCAACAGGAATTAGCAAAAAAAAAACTAGAGGTGCTAGTTGTCCCCCCCAAGGCCGATCAACGCCAAATGCTTGTTGTCTTTGCAGTTGTTGTTCCTTCCAAGCCAATAATCCTTCCACCACCGCAGGTTTAACCCATTGAGTACCGAAGGTTCCTGGAGATAAAATCACAGGCCTCGTTGTTAAACTTTAGGCAATCCTTTGCACCATTCAAATACCTGTTTGACCTATGAACACGCTGCTTATTTCAGAAAAATTGATTAATTTTGACTATAACTGCTTTTGAGGTAGATTTTCTTTTGCTTCTTTGTTTCCTTACTTACACGATAGCTTTATTGCTTTTTTGCCTTACTTGCGAGTGAATTATTTCATTTTTTGCAACTAATTTCAGAGGAGAGCGAAGATCGTGCGGTGGCAAGTGATACGATTTTCACGTGCGGGATCAAATCCCGGATCTTTCCAGCCGGGCCAGGCCAACCAAGCTTTCCATCTTTTAGAGCTGGTAAACTAAATTCGACTGGGAGGATTAAAAGGCTGAGTTGTATATCGGATGGCACCGCAAGTCATTGTATATAGCTTAAACAGTTGAATCACTGTCAGTGATCCCTGCCAATGATAGGGCTTGTTTCGCGGCTTGGCTTGGAGCACAGCCAGGGCATTCTTTTCCACCAATGATGTCATTCTGTGCTGGCCACAAATGGTGGGAAATCGCCCGTGGCTGCGGTCCAAGCCACGCCTCCGTTACACGCAAAATTGCTTGCAGGGATCTTGACAGTAAGTGCTACGAGTTTCTATACTGGAAGTAGAACTGCGTCCGTACATATGCCAAACGGAATCTGTGCGCAGATTTCATCCTTCTTTGACTTCTTCATCTATTTTTTAGAGCGGACGAGGACATTATCTATATCTGTGTGTTGTCTCTTGAATCCTGTGTATCACTGAGGAAGGCTTTCACCACACACGTTTTTTTCTAGCTAAGCACTTTATTTTTTCATTCCTATTCGATAAAAAAGCTTAATCATATCCAGAAACAGCATGTTGGATACACGGTGTGCACTTTTGCATTTTTAAGTTGAAATCGATAACGTTCACCATCGACGAATCCGCAGTTCAATCCCAAAGAGAAGCCAGTTGTATCACGAATTAGAGCGCTTTACTGCCCGCGTACGAGTTGCGAAACAAATCTAATCCATAAACGAAAATTTCATCCACATACGAAGACTCCGAGCATACACTTACTGTCCATGGACGCCAGGAGAGAATGAATCTTGGAGGCACTTTCGCTGAGATATGTATTGCCTTTCATGCAGGCTGTAATCATGTCATTGTCCACAGCAAGACAGGATGAGAGTTGTCTCGAGATGTTCCACGAAAAACGCATTTTTCGCCACCTTTCAGTGAAGTGAGCAGCTACGCCTTTTACATCTTGAAGGCAAAGCCCGCGATTATTCGCCATCACAGATGGTGAATTAGGAGTTTGCAGACGAAAGGTATCTGTGTAACTCGACAGTGAAGAAAAAAAGCAGAAAGAAAACATGCCAACTGCCCTGAATAGAGCCCCATTCAAATCCCAATTTGTACGTACCCAATTTACTCCACCTCATCCGCACAGCTGATTCCTCGATAAGATTCTACGACCGTACAAGTGACGATTTTCATGCTTTTTCGTCCTGCAGCTTCGTTTTCACTGAAAGGCGGGCCTTGAAGGCGGAGTCTGGAGGCGGAGTCACTGGAAAAAGGAGGCGTCACTGAACCTATATTGCGCTATAGCGCCCCTCCCAATTTTTGCCGCGAAACCGGTACAAGGTTGTTCGTCGCGGACCACACTACCCCCGACGCCATATTTTCAGCTTCCACACCTGATCGCGGACCGTGCCTTTAAGGATAATGAGCCTAGTTACAGGCTCAAATTACTCTCAAGTTATATCAAGTTTCAATTTTAACAAAATCGTGAACTCGATGTTCAACCCACTCGCGGCCAGGACCATTTCCACATGGTACTCTTTTGCTACTTTTTCTCTTCTACGCATTCCTTCTTTTTGTTCCTTGAAAATTCATTGTTCAAACCCGTGATACACGATCCTTCTCAAATATGGAACAAAAGTCTAGTCCGTGGCGCATCTGAGAATTTTGACTTCTGCTGACCATTAGAATTCCACCGGCTATCTATCCTTGGTCACCTGTTGTGCCACGGTGGTCTAGTGGCGCAAAACGTGGAGTATGGGAACCGCGACAGCCTTAGCAGCGCTAATTGATCACTGGTCCGCTGTTTTCGCTCGTGTTCATGAGGCAAGGTCACCTGGCAGGGTTGTTGCGAACAAACACAGCACTCATCGATGAGCACTACTCAACCATTGCAACCCCAAAACATGATTTTTTTTTCTGCTGAATCTTCGTGTGGAGGGGTCGATCATCCTCGAACATGGCACTGTGTTGACAGAGCGCTAAATGACGTCATCACAGAAAGATTAATGCAACTTCGTGACCACAATGC